CTGCCTGGATGGTACAACTAACATTCTTCATCCACTATAATTAAAAAGTGAATTCAAGCATGTAACTTGGTCCAAGAAGGAGAATTACCTTGTACTCATTGATAAAATCGCGTACCATTCCATAACCCACATGCTGCTTCCCAGTGACATGAGACTGAGTCCTCTCTGCAGCATCATTTGCCACAAGAAAAGAACCACATATCTCACATAGAGCCATCTTTTTCTCCTGAGCAAGCATCAATACCTTGTCATTTTGTGGCTGAATCAAGGCCGTTTTCTCAGTATTAAGTGCCTCCACCTGGCAGCATAAAATGAATTATTTCCACCAGCTGCAAATTTAGTAATGACTAATAAAGAACTTACTAGCTTGCATAGGTTGGTATAGGAACTTTTGAAGTTTGGAACTGATAGGTCTTTTAAGGAGAGTAGTAGGGTTGACATTTAAAATTGAAGAGGGGATAGAAGCATTTTAATGCCAAGTAGCCTATTCCACAAAATAACTCAATATTCTGAAACCAGTAATCTGTCAATAATTTGTTGAATGAATTCAGAGAGAATGAATAAGGGAAAATGAAGATACAAATGGCAGCACCTTCCTCATCAATGCTTCAGCTTCATCCACTTTGCCAGTTTCACCAAGGGCTTCTACTTGTTCTAGAAGGTTCTTTATTTTCTCTTCCAACACAGATAGTTGTTCAGTCTTTTCAGCTGACAGTGGAGTGGACGGTGCAGGTTCTACCTCTTGTGCAAGCCGTTCTCGCCCACGCCTGACTCTTCTATCTAGGTCCATCACCTATAACAAAGTTGTATTTTTAAAGACGAGAACAGAAGTGCATCGAAATAGAAAATAAGTTAAACAATAGATAACAATGGGTAAAAACAACCTACCAATTTCTCGCAAAATTGAGCAAGTTCAGCTTCAAATTTGGGCACATAGGCATCATGTCTGGGTGACTTCTCAAAACTAAAACCAAGAAGGCAAATTAGTAACTGCTTGCATTAATTATTACACATCTAATAATACTTTTGTGTACCATATGCATATAGTGTGAAACTATACTATGATATACATTATTATCAGGCACAAGCAGAAAACACTGAAATTAGCTTCTAGACCCATCTTTAGCAGAAACATACACCATAAAATATATAGCAAACCCAACCATCATCGGCAGAAACACACACCATAAGACATGATGCAAATTCACGCCATATAAGTTACAGGAATAAAGGAGTACTTTAGTAACAGTTTCAAAACATATTGTAAGATGAAAGAATGCCAAATCCTCAAAAGGGGTAGTTAGTTGGGCCATCCTTCGGATCAAAAAAGAATATGTATATTAGCCTCTTCCTGCATAACTGACCTTAATGGATGCAACATTTAAAACATCTTCACTTCCAATTGCTACACCACTTGAGGTAACTAATGCGATAATTAAACAATGAAGATATTCTCAAAACGAATAACTAAAACCGGACTATAATCTATTGGGGAAAATATGGATTCTAATCACACCTTTCTTTCAACTTCTGATCATGAATTCTGGGACATGGCCCTGGTGCAAAAATTGCAAAACCGTATAGCCAGTTAGTGATATCACCACACTTTGAAAACCGTAAGAAACGGTGTTCAATGTCTCTTCAAATAATGTGACAAGTAAAGATCGACTACAAGTTATTAAAATTCCAAAATAAAGTGTTAATGTTCCTCTCACTGAATCCATAAGCTCAAAGGGAATCCATAAACCAAATTAGCCTTACTGGATAAACATTTCTCGACATCCAAACTCATCAGGACAAAAATCGCGTGATAAAATATGACAAATTAGAAAGGACAAGGCTAGCTCCACTCACCGAGATCGCTGCGAGTGTTAACAAAGAGGTCATGAGGACAAAATCTAACCATATAGAATCCGCAGACCTCCTTATCATCCCATTTGATTTCCTTGTATCCCCTTCTCTCTTCCTCGGTCAAATTACGAGCTACAAAATTCACCAAAATCCAATCTCTCTTAATAACAAACAATACAGTACACGCTCCTAAACTATGAATCAAGCAAGATCGAGTATTCAAATAAGATTAAAGCTCCATGGCGAGCAAGTAAAATGAAGGTTTCTCATAAATTACCAGCACCCATGAGTTCGTCAAGCAGAGCTCGTTGAGCGTCCATGACTAATAGAGGAGCTAAAGACTGTAACGATAGAAGATGTGGAGTAAAATAGAGAAAACTAAGTTCTCATAGATTAACAAAGGGATCCAATGGCTCCTGGTGTTGGCAAGTACAGTAGATTTTCTAGATGATTAGGGTTTTGGTGCGGGGCATGTAAAATAATTAGGGGTCAAGACCGGTAGATGGTCCAGATGGAGATGGAGGGGGAGGGGGAGGGGGAGCGGCAAAAAAGAGATATGACAGGCTGTCCATTTAGAAGAAACAACTTAAAAGACCACGTGAGCCCGGCCCATAGTCTCAAACCCGATCCGATTTTTTTTTTTTTTTTTAAATAAATATGTTCGAATTTGATAAGTTTCAAGTTAATAAAAATTTATAGTTGAATGATTTGCATTTAACCAAAAAATCTATCCGAACCAGATCCAATGTATAAATATAATTGTTACTATAAGTTTTATATTACTGTAAATATAAAAATATATATACAATATATTTTTTTATTAATAATATATTTACATTAATAATCGGATCGAACATAAATTTAATAATATGCAAATGATACAATTTAAATAAAAATAAATTTAAACGATTTATATATTATAAGGATAAGTTAGGTTTAACTTTAATGAAACTCGTTGAAAATCTGTACTATCGTAATATTTAATAATAAATATATATATTTAAAAATATTGAATGAGATTAATTTAATTAAAAATTTAGTTTAATTATAAATAAAAATAAGTTTTGAAACTCACTTCAAATTGGGTATATTTGAGTTTTACCATAAAATTAAATATAATGTAATTATATTATATAAATAAAATTATACTAAATATAATATGACATTTTTAATTATATAAATAAAATAATTAATAATAAATTTAATTAATTAAATAATTTTATGTTATTTTATAGATATTATAGAAGTTATATCATTACTCATAGTAAAAAATATTATAATAATCTAAATCTCGATTAATTACTAATATTATTAATCAGAATTACAACATCACTTTTATATATATTTTCGGTATAATCATTTTTTACTTGGCAATTTAAGTTTTAACCAATTGATATTTAAATGTAATTATAAATAATATAATTATTATAAAGTCTTATGTTTATAAATATGTTAGTTAATTTAATATATACTTTAACCGCAATTATTGAAATTGACTGGGTAAACATATAACTTTATTATTTTTTAATTACAGTAGCATATAAATCAAACAAGCAAAAAGTAGTCAACGCATAATTTATAGTTGATTTTAAATGATTATTATTTATAATTTAATATTAATAATAAATTAACAATTGAAATTATAGTTAATGTTCTTGATATTATGTTTAATTCAAATAAATTAAATTTATAATAATAAAATAAAAATAAATTAGTATACTAATAGATTAAAATATATTTTGAAGATATTTTTAATTTTATTAGGCGCATTAATTTATTAACAAGGGAATTAGGAACCTAGGAATGAACGAAGCTTACCGGCAAAATAAAAAAGTAACGCAGGCACCTATTAATTTTATCCGTTTCTTAAACGCTACCGTTTTAGTGAAGATTGCATCTAACTTAGTCGGTTCGTGATAGGACGGAAATCGTAGAGACCAAGGACTAAGAAGAGAAGTTACGGTTGACCCAAACCAGATCTTCCTTGCAATTTCAGAGGAATTCAAGATATCAGATCTTATTCTTCTTGTTTAGACATTTTTTTCACCCAAGGATCTCGCTTATTAACCAGGTAATTATGCTCATTGGATTTCACAGGTTCTTTTCCTTCAAGATTCGTAGTTTGAGCTTTATGGCATTTCCCAGGCAACCGAACATCTGAGGTAAAACGATTTGATTCATTTCTCATTTTGGAATCAGATGGCAGATGGCCTTGCGCAGTCTAGGTACGTCAAGTTGACGAAGGACCAAGCGCCGACCGAGGACATTAGGCCCGGCGAGCTGAATCAGCCCATTGATGTACCTCAGGTTGCTTTCTATCTCTCACTCTTAATTTCTCTGCAAAAATTATCGTAGATTTTCCAATATGTTAGTTCCAACGTACTGGTTTAAGTGTCGCCAAATTTCTGTGTTTGTTTCTTTGTGTTTCGATATGTTGTTTTGGTTCAATAATCTATCGTTATTCCGACGGCCTAATCATACCAACGAGGCACGGAAGGAACTGCTTAAATTCTAAAAAAATTACTTCGCTGCACTATTTAGTCTTCTCGTTGAACTGCTCTTTGGTCCGATGGAAGGCGTTTATTCCCATTTTGCTTCTCATTGCGTCAGTTACCGTAGTACTTTTCCGTATGATTTTAGGATTATACCTGATTTGCTTTTCAGGCTCATACGTATCTTCTAGGGTAGTCTGAATAGAGATAGAAGTGTGAATTTGGCTTATACATTTACTAATACGGCTTATGTTGCATGGCTTGGATTGTAGATTGGCCTTCTTAAGGTTCGTACTGGCAAAGATTGTGAAGTTATTTTGTGATCTGATTAGTTTCAAGTTCTAGTTTGAGATGATTTGCGGAAACCAATTAGTTTTTTAGTTTTTCATTCTCGATGTATTTTTAATCATCTTATTCATTACTCATCAGCTGGCCGTTCGCAAGTGCAATGAGTGTGGACAAGCTTTACCAGAAAACTTTGAACCTCCTGCAGTTGAACCTTGGACAACCGGAATTCTTGGTTGTGCTGAAGACACAGAAAGTTGTAAGTTGATAAATAATCTTGAAACCCGTAATTCTTGTTTTGGCCTTGTGTAAAATAAATACGGAACTTGTATATATACATAGATAGTGGGAACACTAGATTCATAACAAGTTAAACGGGTTGCTATTTGTATTTACTCAGTCTTTTGGGCTGTTTTTGTTCTTTTGTCATTTTTTCTCTATTTTGGCCATCAGTCATAGCTTATTCCACCTTGATTTGTAATTTGTTCTCTCTTTCTCCGTCTAATAATACTTCTTTAGTACAAAAAAGCTCAGTGGTAGTTCTAAGCTGATAACTTGATTGTGCTACGAGATTTTTATTATTTTCAGTTCTAAACTTTTAGTTGAAGCTTGAAAGAGAAAGGGGATTGTAAATTAATCAGTTTTAAGAGGACGTAATTACCTGTCTCTTATGCCTGTTCTGTTTAGTGATTATTATTAGTTTCCCTCTTAAACTCTGCATCTAGTATCGCAAGACCTGGTGTTCGGATTATGATAATGTGCTTTACTTTTGCATTAATCAGTTTTAAGAGGACGTAATTACCTGTCTCTTATGCCTGTTCTGTTTAGTCATTATTATTAGTTTCCCTCTTAAACTCTGCATCTAGTATCGCAAGACCTGGTGTTCGGATTATGATAATGTGCTTTACTTTTGCATTTTTACATTTCAGTACAAGATTCTTTCTTCTGTCACAATCTTATGTTTTGGTGAAAATTTCTGCACTTCCTGTCCTCTGCTTGCTTGTGAGAGAATGTAATGTATATTGCCTTGATTAAACTTAGCAGTTTTTTAATTTAAACCCTTACAGGTTGGACAGGACTGTTTTGTCCATGTGTTCTTTTTGGTCGTAATATTGAAACGCTTAGAGATGATACTCCGTGGACTACACCATGCATCTGCCATGCCATTTGTGTTGAGGGTGGCATGGCACTCGCAGTAGCAACGGCAGTTTTTCATGGTATCGAACCGAGGACATCCTTTCTTATTTGTGAGGGTTTATTATTTGCTTGGTGGATGTGCGGCATATACACTGGCCTTGTTAGGCAGACATTACAGCGGAAATATCATCTTAAGGTAAGTCTTATTTGTTCCCTATGTTATTAATCAATAACTTTTCAAACTAAGGACAAAAAGCACATATATATGCCCCCAGAGAAGCATCATATCCATGCTTGGATAAAATTTTCACATCCCTGTATGAAATATATATAAAAAAAAAAGGAAAGTTTGTTGATGATTAGGAAGGCAAATATTCTTTTCTCTCTTTTCGACGGGGATCAGAATCTCTCATGAGTTATTTTGCCATGCACAGAACTCTCCGTGTGACCCATGCATGGTGCATTGCTGCATGCACTGGTGTGCCTTGTGCCAAGAACACAGAGAGATGAAGGGACGACTCTCGGATAACTTTGTGATGCCAATGACTATTGTCAACCCTCCCCCTGTTCAAGAGATGAATGCCAATGAAAACCAGGACTCTGCACCACCACCGTCTAGGAACGGCACCAATTTGGAGATGCAAGCTTTGTAGGTTACGTTTTCAGCCATACCCCAATTATATGAAAAACACAAATGATCTTGCTATATCATGGTTTTGATTTTTGTTTTGTTCAACTTTCTAGTTGAAACTCTTTTAACTTCTGTCTGTTAAAACCTCAGTTGATGAGGGGAGATTTTGCTTTTTCATTATTGCGGATGCTGTGTCATCCGAATGATTGTTACATTGTGTACAGGTCCTACAGGCGGCTGCCATTTTTATGGCCAAGACCATATTTTTAATTCCATCCTCGAGATCCCAATGCCTCCTTACAGCTTCTTTTAATCATTTTGCTCTTGTTTTGCTCCTCTAGCACTTGAAATGTTAATGTTCAGAAAATTTAGGCTGAAAGGCGTTCGGATTAGATGGTTTCTTTTTCATCTGATGCATTTGATATCTGAAATCAATTATAGTTGTTTAATATTCGTGTTGAGAAACACAAAGAAAAGAGGGAATACACTCCATAAAAAAAAATATATATCATAAAACATAAAGTAGAGCTGTAAATGTATTAATTCGTTTTTGTAGAACTGAGGTGCCTTGTATACGCGTACAAGCGTATGTTTTTGTCACAAACTTTAATTACTAAACAAGTCTATGTTCTTCTCTGTTAATTATATCATATTTTTTATGGATTGCCAAATGTGGGGGGGTGGGGAGCGAATATATATATATATATATATATAATAGAACCAACCCAAATAATTCACGAGTCTTTAGTCTCTAGTTCATGCGAAAAGGGCACGGGTGAGGCCCCGTCAGCCTACCTCTAGACCCCTCCATCCCTACATGTACTGCCGAAATTATTTCAGCCGTATTCCGCATTTGTAGCTGTTACTCCTGTCTTGCCTTTTTTTTCTAGTTTCTACCATTGGCTATAATCACTTCTCTGCTACCAGTTTAACTTCCCAGTGTAAAAATTGTAGTACTGTAGTTGAAAAATTACCATTCAGCCTACTGCCTTCTTCGCTGTTGTAAATTTTAAAAGCAATAGAAAGTTTCTGTCACTTTTTTTTTAAAAAAATTGTATATTTGGTGAAATTGATTTTTAAGGTTTTAAATATAGATTTTTAGCGTGGCTTCAGACTTTAACATAATAAAGACATTCTATATATATATATATATAATTGTTAAAGTGCTATTAGAATATAAAAACTATAGCTAAAAATTGAATTGAACATCTCTGTAATTTACATGTAACTGTAATTAATGACATGAATATTGTCAAAAACAATTTGTATTTTATTCGTTTAGTAGTAAAAATTTTATTAAAATATAAAAATTAAAGTTAAAAGTTGGACTAAAGATCTATTTTATAACAAAATTTTTAATTGTTAAATAACATATAATTAGTGACGTAAATATTTTTTTTTAAAAATATTTATAATTAATAAATAGAAAATTTTATAAAGAGTATTTAAATAAGTAGATCTTAGAAGAATACATGATGATTTAGATTTTCGATTAATTTATTAAAAAGGGTCAATTGAAAAATTGATAATCATTTACGAAATAATACTGTAAGATATAAAAATATATATGTATTAGTATCACTTTAGTTAGAATTCCTGAAGCTCTTAATGGTAATAAAATACTTAGAGAAAACCATAGTGTTATTGAAGCATAAGAAGACATAAAGATTAACTCTTCAAATTTTTTAGAACAAAAAGAAAATTTGGGGGAAAAGTTTATGTTCTCATCTTCCTTTTTGCATGTTCTGTAGTTATTTGAACCAAAATTAAAAGGAAATTTCGATCATCTCATTTTTAATTTTTCTTTATTCTGGTCAAAAACAAACAAACTGGTACATGGCCAGTCAAACTTCCAAGTTCAAACATTTCTGCTTTTCCTTCTCTCTCCTAATTAACCCATCTCTCTCTGGAGCATTCAGTCCGTATGGAGAGACCAGAGTCAGAGAATGGAAGCTGCAGGAAGGGAATGGCAAAGAACAAGGAGATACTACCGTGTGCACCCCGGCGCACGCTAGCACTTCCGACCGCGGTTAAGCCACCCGCAGCCAACGAGGTGAAGCTGGCAGCATTAGCCATCGATTTAAACGTACGGCTGAGATCGGCGGATATGCACCCGTCGATTCAAGAGCGAGCAATCCGGCAAGCCAGAGCCTTACTCGACGAGACCAACCCCGACGAGAACCGCCCCAGTCCGACCCACCTCGCCATGCGGCTTAAAAAGGTACCGTCTCTAACTTTTCTTAACCTATCTAGACCGAACAGAGACCCCAGAAAACGACGCCGTTGCACTCCCCGTTTGAAACTTTTTTTTTTTTCTTGAGAAGGAAAATCAGATCATTGAGGATGAATCAATTATGGGTGTTGCAGGAATTTGATGCGAGTTACGGACCAGCATGGCAGTGCATAGTGGGGAAGAGTTTTGGGTCATTCGTGACTCATTCGAGTGGTGGGTTCGTTTATTTCTCGGTGGACAAGCTATCTTTTCTTCTCTTCAAGACGGAGGTTCGCCCAGTAATCAAGGCTCCGCTTCAGCTCCCGTCGATTAAACACAGTAATACCAAGACTATAGCCAGCGTCAAATCTTCTTCCTAGTAATCATATTATATATTTTAAACAAATATATATATATATATATATATATATATTTCTGTAATTTAAAATGGTTTTTTTTTTTTTGTTAAATATTTCGAATATGTATGCATCAGCTTCTTTTATTATTGGGTTACTGTCTTCAATCTCAACATTATTATTCTCCCTCTTTAAGAAACAACAAGTGGTAAATTTGCTGTCTTTATTATTAAATACTTTGTTTTCTTAATTATTTATTAATTAATGTATTTTATTAATTAACCAATGTAATCATCCTTAGAAAATGGTTAGTAATACATTTTCACATATAATTTCAATAGGGTTTATTAATTTATAAAAGTTATAATTTAATTCTTATGTTTTGAACGAATATTATATATCATACCAATAAATATTACAAACGTAAACTATATGTCTAAAGCATAATTCTTATGTTTTAAAGACTTGTGAATAAAATTCAGATAATTATTTGGAGAAAAAAAGAAACTCCGTATTCCTACTTAAACTAGGGCTGCAGATAAGTAACGTGGCTTGGAATTAAGTCCCGCTTGTTTTCTCCCATGTCGAAAAAGAATTCCTCCAAGCAACAGACTCCTATCATTATTAGAATTATCTCTGTTTATATCCTTTTCCGCAAACAATTCCTCCAACATCGTATATATATATATATACACCGGGGAAATACAATCACAATCTAGAATTCAATACCTTGTTCGTATAATCAGAATCTTACTTCGATTGACATTTCGGCTTTCAGTTCACAATCATGGCGAGAGACCTTGCTTTCTTCGTCGAAAATTGCGGTTGCCTTACTTTCAGTAGCGGTGAAATTACAAAGGACGAGTCTTCTGGTCCTACTTCCACGCCATCTCCGGTTGATTCTAGACAAACTGATGAGAGGTTCGAAGTCCCTCGGTTGAAAGCTTGCTCAGAGAATGGCTGCGGAGATGTGTTCTTCGGCAGTGATGATCACCGGGAAGATGAATGCAATTATCTGTACAGGGAGGAGGTGATAGAGTATTATCGAAGGGAGCGAATTATATGGCCGGTTAGCAGGAAACAGAAGAGAAGAACCAGCTTTGGGTGCTTTGATTTTCTGAAGTTTATCCGTAATTGCTTTTAATTCAATTTGAAAACATGCAATCTCTCTTTTTCTAAAATTTTGGATTCAATCTTAGGCTTAATAGTGCGTAAGAATTAATCTTGTTTATATGTGTTAGCAGTGTTCATAATAAATATTTCTAATGTAATTTTTGGGTAAATCAGTTTATTTGATAGGTATATTTTAACACAAAGTTTACCCCTTTAAATATTTGTATGTTTTTTAAAGTATAAGATAACAGTAAAATTTAATTAATTATATATATATATATATATTTAATATAACATAAGATAATATTAAATTTATAGGAAGAAAAAAGAATATGAATACTGCGGTAACGGGCTACGATGATGGGCCTGGGCTTTTTTTCATAATTAAGGGATGCCCATGGGCTGATTTTTTTTTAATCAATAATTAATCTTGTACGTTTGAGCTAATTACTATTTCTGATTTATTATATTCGAAATTGACTTATTTTTTTCTTTTATTATTTGGTTTCAAATTCACTGCAAAATAATGCTTAATTTTATTTATAAAAATAAAATTACACATGGGTGATACGTGTATCATGTATATATATATATATATATATATCGCTTCATAAAGATTTAAAGAAAATAAAAAGAAGTTTAATGTAAAGTAGAATAAACATTAGAAGGAAAAATTAAAAAAATTATCATAAGTGATAAACCAGGGGCAATAATGGTAAATGAATTAATTTGAGGGGTCATTGTGCAATTTCAATAACATGATAACGGTGTAAACCGCAATCACCAAGACCCGCCACCCACTATCCCCCACGTGGTTCGTGGCGGTTAATTTTTGAATTTAGAGCTTTCTGAATCGGAAGTGTTGCAACCATTCTGCTTGTATGTATATTAGCTTTTCACTCTGTATCATCCCTGATTCCAGTCCAACAAAAAATACGGCACAACAATTTTACTTCCTTCGTCTCTTACAATTTCTTCTTCTTCTTCTTCAATGATCTTTGGCAAAATGGCCCCTGCTTCGCTCACTTCTCGTTTCGGGCAATCTATCACAAAGAATGCCTTCAGATCATATCTTGCAGAGTTCATCTCAACTTTCTTTTACGTTCTGACAGTTGTTGGATCCTCCATGTCCGCAAGTGAGCATCATTTCTTCTTCTGTATATATCTCTTTTGTCGTGCATGCATATCAGTACAAGTGTTTCTTTTTACTCTCCATGATGATGGTTTCTTGGATAAGTATGATTTCAATATCGCCTTCTGTTGGCTTTGTTAAGATATTTGATCTAAACTTGGGAAAGCAAAAACCAGGATTTCCAAATTAATGCACTTTGTGGGATTTTTCTCTTTGGAACATAGAAATAATTAGTAATAAGAGATATAATATACTATGATGTGGTTGCTTTTACTTTTATTTGAACTTTCTTGCGGAGTAAGAACACAACAATTTCAGGGAAAATACGGGTGATAGTCTTTACTATTATGACTTTTGAGTTTTTGGTTTACGTGTGGATGTGGTTTCTAAATGGCAGGGAAGTTGATGGGAAGTGGAGCAGAAGATCCCTCTGGTCTAGTGATTGTCGCCATTGCAAATTCACTTGGACTGTCATACACAGTATACGTTGCGTCCAACATTTCCGGTGGTCATGTGAATCCAGCCGTCACCTTTGCAAGGGCAGTTGGAGGCCATGTTAGTGTCCCAACTGCTCTGTTTTACTGGGTTTCTCAGATGCTTGCCTCTGTCATGGCTTCCCTTATTTTGAGAGTCATGACTGTTGCCCAGGTACGCATACATACACACATGCATACATGTATACTATTGGTAACTTGGGGGATTTAACTGATTTTGGGTGCTGAGTTTTGCAGCATGTCCCCACCTACGCGATTGCAGAACAAATGACTGGGTTCGGAGCATCTGTGCTAGAAGGTGTGCTAACATTTGCTTTGGTTTACACTATTTATGCTGCTGGAGACCCTAGGCGAGGTCAAATGGGAGCCATAGGACCATTGGTAATTGGGATGGCGGCGGGAGCCAATTTCCTGGCTGCTGGACCCTTCTCTGGTGGTTCAATGAATCCAGCATGTGCTTTTGGGTCTGCTGTGGTTGCTGGTAGTTTCAAGAATCAGGCTGTCTACTGGGTCGGACCTTTGATAGGAGCCACAATTGGAGGCCTTCTCTATGACAACGTGGTTTTCCCCCCAGAAGCAATAGATTCTCTCACAGGGATTTCAGAGAGACCTGTGGTGTAATTCCCCCTTGTTTTCTTTTCATATGTTGCTCTCATGTATGTATGTATGTATTGTTGTTGTAGTTAATCTTGTTAACTTGATTTATGACTGACCAGTAAACTGGTTCACGCTTTCATTAATTTCTTTCCAAATCAGAATGATCTTTATTCTTTTCCTTAATTGCTTAAGTTACAAAGCTGTTGTAATTATAACCACAAGGGAAGCAGGAAACTTATGGGTTATAAATACCATTTTGGTCTAACTTCCTCTTCCTTCTCTGTCAATTCTCGATACTGATACCACTCAGCTCCAGCCTTACCCACAGGCAATGGTTGGCGGACAAAAATCTCCACTGGCTTGGGAACACGAACAGCTAGCTGCAGTTTTTCGTCAGTTTCTTCCAAATTTCTATTCAAAGTACATGACCTATGAGTAGGTTCAACAGAAATCCATCCCAGACCAGAAATAGCCACATCCTTAGCAGGCCTATTAAGTAGAACAAATAAGCATTTCGAGCCCAGATAACCAAATCAAGTAAAAACACATAAGAGCAAGCCTCAGTATGAAAAATCCAGACTCTAAAATACAATTTCACCTTGATGCATGTTCAAATTCTATTTGAAGACTACGTTCTGTTTCCAGCCCTCTCCAATCTTCTGCTTTCTGTTTTCCAGTTGGAGGTGTCAATAGAACTCCAAGTTCTTTCTGCAGAAACCCCAAAACAAAGCCGCAATGAACAGTGAGCACATTACAAGACCCAGAAAAGAAAGAAACCTGCCTTTGGTAAAACTCATTATAAACGAAGCAAACAGCATCCGATAAGAGAAAAAAAGACAGCAAAAACAGCATCTTGCCTGGTAAAACTCATCTGCTTCATCAGTTGGCACTACATGAATCTTCAAAGCCTTGGGTCCATAAAATGTTAAACATGTTTCTGGGAGGACCTGTTTAGGAACAGTAAGTACCAAAACCTGACAAATAAAAATGATATAATAAGATTTACACCTTTAAGACATCAATCCTCACAAGGCCACCCCAGAATATCGAAAAACCATTCAAGCCATTGGATTTGAACTTGTCAGCAATTTCATCTTCTGAGGACGCTTGAAAGTTCTGCAGAATCAAAATATAGCATCAGAATAGAGTAGCACGAGATGCAATTTTCAAGGAAAGTTCAAAAGCAAACATACAGGAAAGGATTGACCCCTAAGCCGAGATTGAGGAGCAAGGTCAGGTAAATCTTCTGCATGTACAACTGCTGTTTGCCTGTGGTGTAGATGAACACCTGGAGTGTCATATAACTTCCCTCCTCCAAGAAAAGCATCAATTTGAATTGGGCCTAAGGTAGTTCCAGGAACAGCAGATTGTATGGGCTTATACTTTTGTGCTGCAGCAGCAGCCGGATCCTTTTGCGCCATTGTTTCTGATATTATAAGTTAATCATAGTGAAAGTCAACATAAAAGATCTAATATAAAAGGCCTAACTACAGAGATAGATAATAAGAAATCAAGTGTACAAATTGAGCTGTATTTGGATTTATTCAGGGCTTGGCTAGCTAGTCCGAAATTGCATCAAATAAAAAAGACTGGAGTATAGAGTTGGATAAAACAAAATCAACTGCACATATTAAGCTGTATTTAAATTTAACTTAGCCTGTTTCTAGTTAGTCCAATAAATAGCATTTACAAGGATATCTCCACAGGAAGTAATGACGTGTAAAAGGTCAATTTTGATTTTCCCTTAAAGGATAAACTTTGATTTCCTCCTAAAAAGAGAGCATCAAAACAGTCCTACAGATTTGTATGCATTAATAGTGGATACTCTGGTCCTATTTTTCGAGTAATAGGACCTTTCCATGTAGAAGTGGGCTAAATATGTGTTTTACTTTCCAAAACCAGATTATCATGAAGATTTTCCTACTTCGTGATTAGATTTGGAGAGAAAAAAAGCAGTATAGTCTTTAGAATTCTGAATAATAGATATGCCTTTCATAGGGTAAATCTCAATGAACAAACCATGAAAATCTTTTCTCTTTTACTTTTCTGCATTTATCTGCCTGTGCATTTTCTCTATCCCACAACATAATTTGGAAAGAAAAGAATTTCAAATATACAAATAATCATTTAAAAATAATCACCTAAGATATATAAACACATTTGATATTCTTAAAAGAAACATTTTTTTTTTTTCTTAAATGCACAATCATAATTTAGCACTGCAGTATCTTCAAGAACAGTACCGTTATCAAACACAGATACTAGGAACAACATACTCAACAACATTTTATGGAAGGTAGGTTCCAACATATTGTACTTGATTTTTAATAGACACGAGTTTTTAACTAAACAGCTAAAAAGAAGGCCTTTTAACATAAGTTTTCTTCCTCAGTACAACTAAAAGAAGCCATAGCATAATGCCTATAATGTCAATGGTAAGGGTCCTGAAAATAATCAAATTGGGGAAAAGAGAGACACAAAATTCAGGTGGGCAGTAAGCAATATATTATTCCAACTCAATTTTTAGTTTCTATTAGAATAGTAACTAGAGTACGTTCCAGAGAGAGGCGATAGCCTAACACTATTGCTCCTTTACAGGACGAATTCGACTTTCTAGTTTCTATTAGAATAATCAGTGTGGATTCTAAGAGATGCCATGGTCCAAAAGTATTGGACCATTCTAAATATGAATATGGGCAACTTTATAAGATTTAGTTTTTAAACCATATTCCTACTTCGAAATTGAAATTGTCAATAACACCTTAACGTGAATTTCTTTATCATCTTCTTTTTATTTTTGGAGGAGAAAAGGCATTGGAGAACATAAAATTACTTTGAAACTAGTAAAGAAAATGAAAAGATTAACTTACTCAATAAAGCATTGATAAATGCAGATTTCCCAACATTAGCTGAACCCTGGGAGAATTGTAACATCAATCGGGTGTGTCAATATACATGTAGCAGTTGAAGTTTGAAAAACTCAAAGAAGGTCTGCCTAACTCTGAAATGAAAAAACTGAGGACCAAAGAACTGGAGAGGAAAAGTGAGATGAAGGGACGCTAGGAAAAGTTCTTGAGTGGCTAGAGAAAAGAGAAAAAGTAGGTTCCCAGGAGAAATGAATAGATTTATGGGAGTCACATAGATTTCTCAGAAAATCAGTCAGGCCCCTAAGGCAAAAGTAGATTTACCATCATGCAGGTTCTAAGAAAATCAATAAAATAGATAAAGCATAAACGATGTTATAGACGGCTACTTTTGAAAATGGAACGAAAATTTTCAAAAAATGTGGAGAACATTTTTCCCAACATTTGAAGCTTCCAATTTATCCTAGTTAGAGGAAAGATCAAATAAATCCTAAAATGCCATGCCAACTCCATAAACTGATCAGGTAGCTGAATAACCGAGGATTTGATCATTACATGTAAATCAGCATGAACTATCCAATTTAAAGGTCTTACTCACCAGAATATAAACATCCCGCCCCTGCAAAGAAAATCAGCACAAAAAAAAAGGTTGAGTGAAAGATATGGGAACCCAAAAAATAATGCAGTACATAAAAGTAACCCTAGTTTTATACTGTGGCAGATCTTAATCCTGCAATTACATATTTAGAAGAATACAGCTAATGATGAAAGCATAATCGAACAGGTACAGAGGGGAGGTGAGAGAACTTTAGCCTAGGAACGTTTCCCAAACCAATGTGGCACAACTGTAAACAAAGTTCATGCTTTTTACTTTTATGCAATTATGAGGTTTTGGATATGTGCCCATAGAAGAAAATAAGTATTATATGTGAAGTTCAGAGAATAAGCAGTAAAATGTTTGAACAAGTGGAAGATATTAGCACCAATACAGATAGATACACATACATATTTATCCATATGTACGTTTTAGCGGAGAAATAGACAACCTTTTTCTCTTTTTGGATTTCTGATGCAACCGCAGCAATTCCTACCAAAGACTTTGAACTGGTGAGATGGACACTCAAGACGCTGCAAAAGAAGCATACAGTAAGAAATTCAAAAAAACCTTGGTGCATAAAGCCAGAAACCTCTTCTAAAACTCAATTAGATATAGCAACCGTGCGACTAAATTGACCAAAGGCATAAATAATTTAGTGCAAAAGAATTCCGCAGAACTCACTAATATAGCATATAAAAACATAAAGGAGTAAAACCTACTTAAGCTTCTTCTTTGTTGTTGCCTCCACAACCCAATCACCAACACAATTAAGATCAGTTCCTCTTGGAAGGAGATCAACCTAGAAGTAAAAAGTATGACTAGTTCAGGCAATTATCAAAAGATCATAGGAGCAACTGTATAAAAATTTATCACCTTAGTTATAACTAATATGATTGGATTTGCACCAGCAAGATCACGGACACGAGCCAAAAAGCTACCATTGAAGTCGACTATGTCAACCTAGAAGAAATAATGGAAAAGAGAGAAATATAATTGATGAAACATACTAGAATAGTCCACTACATCAACCTATAAAGATTAATGGTTCAAGACAGAGATAGCTTGAGAAACCTTACTAGAGCAGTAACAATAATTTCAGAACATGTAGACTTTTTTCTTAAATTTCATTCTGACATAACTGTATCACAATGCTTCTGTTAAATGCCCTCAATAAAAATTTGCAAAGCCTTCAAAATTATACAATATATTCTCGTGTTACATTATACTTGTTTTCTGCTTAACCCAGATTCCTTTCTTTTAGAGTCTAAGACAAACTTGATTGATCAGAGTATACACAGACATGAAATATGTTCAATTAGGGTATTGAGCTAGCAGAAATATTTTTGCTTTTCGTGGTCAGGCAATAGATATAGAAATAAAGAATCATTATTGTATCAAGTTTCTGCATTATAAGCTTCAATAAACTTTAATTGTATAGCATACAGAGGTGATTTTTAACAAAGGAGATAAAGCTGTAAGAAGAATTCAGGAACTTATTGTTCCTAAATTATCATTTGCCAAAAAATTTTATTCGTTAAGAGCCATAATATAGATAGGACATTACCAATTTAATGATTAACGCTTTCTCATAGCGCAAGTGAGACAGTTTCTCTCTAAGCTCGTCAGCTGACACAAACTGCTTCCCACCAGGATAACCTCCATTTCCCCCAACAGCAGTTACCATATGTCCATGAGATAAAAGCCTACACCTCCCACAAATAATGGTTCTAAGCTGGTGATGTTTCTTCTTCTGCAAACCGGAAACAAACATCTGTTAATTGCTTGAAAAGAAATTGCTCACACCAATTTTGAACAAAATCAATTTCAGAGATTCCACGGGCAAAGTCCTAAACGTTGCCAGAAATTCACATGGGGCTCTACATGACTGTCAATTCTTCACAGCTGACTCTGCGCATAAATTGCCAATTTTTCATGATTTATATTGCCCAACCTATTTTCATACTTCCTCGTGTATCTAGCAGATTAGAAGAAACAATTAGCAATTATTGCCAACATTTAGTTTACCGTTGAATTCCTCGTACTCAATTAAATTCTCTTTTCTTTTCCCGCGGAGCTACTGAATCAAAATTCTTAAGCATTTCACTGAAAAACCGAAATCCTTTAAATAACTAATGAACGAAAACTACCTCTCAACAACTACTCATCAATTTGTAATAATATTCAGCAAAAATTGTAAATGCAGAAAGTATCAGTCGTCAAAAGACGAATACCAGTTCATAAGTATCCGGGTCCACATAACCAGGAGCATCCGACTCCGAAGTCTGCAATGGAGCCCCACACCCATAACAAGAAGCCACAGCAGTTGTAAGCTTCAACAACTTCTCTCTCTTTTTCTTCCTTTTCTCCTTCTTAACCTCTCTAATCACTAGATTGGCAGCTTCTTCTACCTGCTGGCGCTCGAGGAACCGCTCTCCTCGAGTCGGAGCAGCAGCGCCTGTTCCATCTGGTTCGAGTTTCGAAATCGGATGTCGGGGGTCTGAGACTGGGGTTTGTGACTGTATGCTTTGGCAGAGGACGAGGCTCGGCCTCCTGTAACTTTTGGAGGGCTTAGAGTTAAGATCCGTTAATCGGTGAGGGAGGGAGAAGGGTGATATAAAAGTGGAGAGGGTTTTAAGCGCCATTGCTGACACCTCTGGAGGTTTTACTCACTACAGTGGCACGGAGGTCTGAACCGCTAACGTAAATTTCATTTCAATTATGTCTGAGAAAAAATCAATTTTTTTTCTTCGGGAATTGATGAGTCATCATATTTTCTATATATATATTATATAAATATATAATAAGCCATTAGATATTTTCTCTAATATTGATCGTTTAAATTTTTGATTTTGTAACTTTATTTATTTATTTATTTTTATTTTGTACAAGCCTATATATATTTAAATTTTTTAAAATAAATATTTGGAATTAATAGAAATTACGTCACCGTTATTCAGGCCACATCGAGTTGCCATGGCCAATTTTCCATTTCTCTTCTTGTGCTAAATTTATTGGGCCGCTGACGATCTGAACTTCTGAAGCCTAATAGTCAGCCATTGCCAAATCACGGGCCTCTCGAGTTGGCTCACTCATGAAATTTCAAATTCCCGCCTTTCGATTACCAGAAACCAGAACGGCGGTTTCGTTCCATTTCTTTTCAAAATTGAAAGGAAATTCTATCAAAATCTTAGTCTACTTTCTTTTGGGTTCAACTCGCGTTTCGATTTCCATTTAGCTTTTCAGGGACTGCTTTTACGTTTATTTACTCTGCTATTTTACAACTCATTTGAAATTTCTAGGGTTTTCGAGTCTGTACTGTTCCCATTTCCTAGTTATATTATTGTAATTTGTAGAGGATGTATATCAAGGAGATATGCTTAGAGGGGTTCAAGTCTTATGCGACGAGGACGGTTGTTCCTGGTTTTGATCCCTTTTTCAATGCTATAACGGGGCTAAACGGGTCAGGCAAGTCGAATATCCTCGATTCAATTTGCTTCGTGCTGGGTATAACCAATTTGCAGCAGGTTCGTGCTTCGAATCTTCAGGAGCTCGTCTACAAGCAAGGCCAAGCTGGAATTACCAAGGCCACGGTGTCCATTGTGTTTGATAATTCGGATAGGAGCAGAAGCCCTCTTGGCTACGAGGACCACCCCGAGATTACTGTAACCAGGCAGGTATGTAGCATATTGTAATTGCGTTTTGTTAGAAATCACCGGTTGTTCGGATGAAAAACACGAAAGGAAGTGGGAGCCTGATGGCTAAGTAAGTGTTCTTTAGACCTAACTAGTAAGTACTTAGTGTTCTTTAGACCAAACTAGTTTTTGAAGCCATGAAAATATTTTTCTACTCGAATTAGTGGTGTTGCTTAGTGCTGATTATTGAATTGCAAAAAACATAATTTTTAAATGCAATTTGGCCAAGTTTTAGCATTACTTCGTGCTGGTTGGTTTATCTGTCAAAGTAGCCTGGCCTAGTCTGGGATGGTGATGGTGGTGAGTTCATACTTGATGTGGAAGACTTTCATTACAGATTTATGAAGTATGATCCCGCTATTGCTAGAACAGAAGATCAATAATAAATTGTATCAGTTTAAGTCAACTGTCTCAAAGAAGAGTCCATGGAGTCTCGTCCATTCTCTTATTTAATATTGCTCCCAATTTCTTGGTCTATTATTGGATTTTTGTGTTTCTTCTTTTTGTTTGAAATTCATATTGCTTGCTCTTTGTACTTCTGTCAGTCGAGGATTAAGCTTAATTCAAATTCTAATATATAGAATAATAATTAGATTGCCATATAAATGAGAAAAAATTTTGGATGAAAAATAACATCAACATTTAAAGTCAATTTCATGTCTACTTAAGTTTAGTTGTTTTGGTAATCTTTTTATTTATAGGTGGGAATTGAAATCAATCCCATTGTGAAAATAAAAATATGAACGATTTAGTTATATATCAAATATATAAATTATGATTCTTTTATATATCAAATAATCAAATCTAGGAATTGAATGATAATAGAATTGGTTTGACAAGTTTGTGTTAAAATTTAAAAATTATATTTAATGTGATTGAGTGTGTTAAAATATAATCTAAAGAGATATACTTATATAGCCTAGAGTTCTTTTTATTAGGATTAACATTTCCAGATAATTGGTTGTTCAACTTAACTGTTTCAGAGCTATAGGTTTGGATAATATGGACAGATATGTGAATTGTAATTACGCTGGTTTCTTAAGTTGCGGTTTTGTAACATTTGGTATTTTTAAGTGCTATGAATGAAAATTTTGGGTATTAACTTTTTTTCTTTGCTGCTTCTTATTTGTTGACATCCAATTGTTGAGAATGTATTTCTTGCTGTTTAGATTGTGGTCGGTGGAAGGAACAAATATCTGATCAATGGAAAGCTTGCCCAGCCAAGTCAAGTCCAGAATCTTTTTCACTCCGTTCAACTTAATGTTAATAATCCACATTTTCTCATAATGCAAGGTCGTATCACCAAGGTCTTAAACATGAAACCTCCAGAAATATTGTCCATGCTTGAAGAGGCTGCTGGGACAAGAATGTATGAAACAAAGAAAGAGGCTGCATTGAAAACGCTTGAGAAGAAGCAGACTAAGGTTGATGAAATAAACAAGCTTCTTGACCATGAAATATTGCCTGCTTTAGAGAAGTTGAGGAAACAACGTACACAATACATGCAGTGGACTAATGGCAACGCTGAACTTGATCGACTTAAAAGGTTCTGCATTGCTTGTGAATTTGTTCAGGCAGAGAAAATTAGAGACAATGCAATTGGTGAAGTGGAAAAGGTGAAGGAAAAAATTACTGCAATTGATGAGAATACAGAAAGAGCAAAGGCAGAAATACAAGCAATGGAGACAAAACTATCAAATTTGATAGCTGAGAAGGAAGCCAGTATGGGTGGAGACGTAAAAACCTTGACTGAGAAAGTAGATTTGCTATCTAAAAATCTGGTGAGGGAAGTGTCGGTTCTGAATAATAAGGAGGACACTCTAAAGGGTGAAAAAGAGACTGCTGAAAAGGTTAGTGAATTTAAATGACAGATCTTTCATCACTTTCTGCATTTTTCTCAATCTTTACATATTGTCTTATTTTTTCCCACTGTTTCATTTCTTCCACTTTCTTTCTTTCCTTATTATGATTATGACGCTTCAATTTTACATTTTGTTGTTCTCCAGATTGTTCATAATATTGAAGACTTGAAGCAATCTGTAGAAGAGAGGGCCTCTGCTGTGAGAAGGTGTGAAGATGGAGCAGCTGATCTGAGAAGGAGAGTTGAGGAACTTTCTAAGAATTTGGAAGACTGCGAAAAGGAATACCAGGTAAAAATTGGATATATACTTTTCCTCTCTATAGCTGATTTCCTATGGTATGCTTGAACTTAGTTTTGAACCATCTTTGTTCTAACAGTCAAGTAATTACTCTGTAATATAGGGCGTACTCGCTGGGAAGAGCAGTG